ATGTAAGAAAAGGTACTGAAAGTTTGGCGGCGCTGCGCGCCGCCGTTTTTGAGATATCGCAAAAATTCGCGAGGGGGGGTAAAATTTACCCCCCCCCCAGCCCCGCGCGGGTTAAAGGTCGGGTATGACAACTTTCAGCTCTCTATCGCTAACGTTTTCGAGCAATCACGAGGAAGTCATCAAGAGATGACACCAGCCCAGCTCATTCCTCAGCCGGCGCGGGTTAACTCCCTTGGGGGACTCCCTCAGGCAAAGGGGGGGGGGGAAGAGGCGTCTTCCAGTCGTTTTTTATCCGCGATTTTTAGGAATGCACTGGCCATAGCCTATAGAGAGCTAAAAGTTGGTATACCGAATCTTTGATTCAAGCTAGGTCTCCTGACCTCAACCGTTTTTTTTCAGTCAAGGTTAGGACCCTGACCTATGACGCTTGAAGTGCACCTCTGCACGGCCCTAAAATGTCGGAACATCGCAACGCCCTAAGTGCCAGGGGATCTTCACAAGGAGATGGAAGTTACGGAACGTGACCTACCAAACTCTTCAAGCTTGTAAACTAAGATTTTTCATGAGGGTCAACCGAGGTCAGGTCAGTAAGGTGACCTCACCATTTCAAATCAATGGGGGAAATATGGAAACCGTTTTGGCGCATGAAATGAGCTTACACTATCAAAAAAAGCGTGATTTAATGCAGTTGCAACTTGCAAGATCCCACGCTTCTTTTTTTCTTCTTTTTTACCTTGCGTGACGTCTTACACATATGAAATAACTATCGACAATGTCACTATTTTTGTTTTCGATATTATTAGGTGTGGACAAAAACGCCTACTTCATCGCGAGGCTGGCTGTGGCCCACACCCGCGTGCAGGAAAAGAGAGTAAGCAAATCCTGAATTTAACGATATTGTGGCCGATGACCTGACCTCACAAGCCACCTGATAACCGGATCTTGCAACTGAACAACACTGAGTCGTCTCATCACAAGCGACATGCCCGCTTATTACGAGAAGCGCTAGCTCCACCACAACTCTTCCTAGCGATTGTAGGTGGGGTCTACACGTGACGCTGTAGAACGCAGCACACGGGTCACGGTAAAAATGAAGTTTCAAAATTTTGTCATTTATGAACGCTGATCAATGAGATGATGCGTAGGCACACAATACATGGACTTCCAGCCCGGCGTGACAAACTCGCTCCCCGCTCAGCCCTCCCCAGTGAGTGCCGTGTCGCGCTCCCGCAGTGCCCTGACCTGCCTCCGCCCCTGGTGCACCGAACCGACCGCCGCAGGACGCGGCCTGTGACCGCCTCTGGCAGGGGGCGGGGGTCACCCGCCGCCGGCCGGCCGGCTGGCACGGCGCACGCGGCGGCCCGCCACGCGAGCGAGCGTCGCGTCCGAGGCGCCGCGCGGCCGGCCGCCGCACCGCGCCGCCGCCGCTGCCGCCGGGTCGATGCGTGATTGCGTCGGTACCTGGGCCCGCCAGGCGGCGCGAGCAGCCGGGCGGCCAGCGGCCACCCCCTTATACCGGTCACGGCGGCTTTGTAAATGTACGGGCCCGCTTCAATCACAGTTGGCTACAGCCAACTCCAATCCCTTATCTACAGTTCAGTGAATTCATTATTAGGTATATATCTATCACCCTATCAATTATCAAATATAGATAGGTACCGCAAATTCCGAATTAAAATTCCCAATTTACGGCAATTTGCAATTTGCGAACATTGCGAGTTGTAAAGGTACTGTCAAGATATCAAGCTACGCACTAAGTAAGAGTTCCTATCCAAGCAACGCCCGGCGGCCACCCTGTTACGCGCTAGAACTACGCAGCCCGATTTTACCCCAACAAAGTCCACTCCTACCAGTACCATATCGCCCATCCCACTCGATCCCATCGATCGACCCCAACTATCCCTATATCACTCCCACTATCCCACTATCCGGTACCGCTCACCCCACTCCCAATGTGTTACCGTTACTGCCCACTCTCACAATGGGAAACTGTTCTACAACTACCTACCTACAACTACCGCATTGCGACGAGTTACTCGTCCGAGTATGAAATACATATATATGAGCTATCGTTATTCGTTGGATACATGTCGTGATCACCGGTCGGTTTTTCGGGCCTCACTTTCTCAGGTAGGGACGATGAGCAATGCATGCTAATCCAGAAAAGTAACATCAAACTAAAAACCAGTATAGCGCCTTTTGGGGAGACTAACGGAGCGAGCGAGGGGGTGAATCTTGCACGTGCGAAATTTCGAGGGGGTACCTCCATATGACTTGTGCACGGCACCCTACTGACCGGTTTCTAGCGATGTGCCAAATTTGAGCACAATCGGCCCAGCCGTTCTCGAGATCTGGAAGCGGCACCCTGCACTTACGCACGTGCAAAATGGGTCCCAACTGACTTGTGCACGGCACCCTACTAACTGGTCCCTAATCGTGTACCAAATTTGAGCGCCATCGGTCCAGCCGTTCTCGAGATCTGGAAACGACCCCTGCACGTGCGCACGTGCAGCAGCACCCCAACTCTGGCACACGGATATGCAGTGCCTAGTGGGTGCCTATCTGCATGCCAACTTTCAGCGCAATCGGCCAAGTAGTTACCGAGATATTGCAACAATGACATAAGTGACACCTCTTCGTTTTGAACGTGGCACGTGCATAAGGGGTCACCCACATGCATCAGGAATAGTCCAATACTTGGTAGAAGGAATGAAGCTACCCTACAAAATTTACCGCATGTAAATCGGTCAAGTGGTTGCTGAGATATAAGCCTTGCAAAAGCGTCCGCACGGCCGGCCGGCCGCTCATACTCAGAAATTTCCGTTAATCTAAGGAAAGACTACGCTCGCTTCGCTCGCTCCGTAAAAAGGCAGAGGACACTAGGGGGACTGCGATGATGTGACAAGGAAGTCCAAAGAAAACCCGACAATAAATAACTTTATACGGGTGGCTACTAATAAAGGCTGAAAGGAATTGGCAGAACGGCTATTCGAGTCCAATGCATGATTACTACATGTTACTACGAACTATTCACTCACTGGTTCCCACAAGACCGAAAAATGGAATAAAATTAAAAGCTATCAAGATAATACGAATTATCTTGACACAAGACGCCAATCCTGACAAAATCACTAAGGGTAATGGAAATAACTAAAGTGAGACATCAAAATAGACGTTCGCTCGGTCCCAAACACGGGCAGGGCTGCCTCTTCAGGGTCCGTCAGCGGCAACAGTACAGATAAGGGACTAAAAACAATTGTGATCGTGAAAGATCGCGTACCTACTCCAGTTAGCTCACGAGATGACCACCAACACTGTTCGAAGCTCAGCAAGTCAACAAATGTATTATTTTAGCACATCAGCATATACGTTCAACGAATAGGTAACATCGTCGCATAGGCTCATAATTGCGCAATCCCTTTCGATTAGTTCAAAGAGGAAGCAATTGCAGCTGATCCGGCATCAAAATACCTAAATAGGTACCCATCAGCTTTGTAATTAAATTGTAGAGTTCATTTCAACGAAGAACTTCTCAACATCGCATTCACTGTGATGGAGCTGATGTGAATGATTACCGTGCTCGTAACGGAGCGATGCACAGCAGGGAAGTCAATTATTAGTATAAAAAATCATTTAACATAATTTGAAACATCTAACCATCATTCTTATCGGTCACCCCAAAAATGAAACAACATATTAACCAATGTGACCTAGCAAAAAGCTCCAAAATGGCCCGTGGAGGTAGAACATCCATAAATCAACATACATTTCTCTCTGTCAAAACAGAGGCGCATTGCATGAGTATGGCAAATCACAGCGAACTAATATCCCGCCTTCGACTAGGCAGCTGCCCACGTCACAAAACTAGCACCAAAGCACTACGCACTAGCACTACAACAAGCACCCAAGGCCCACAACTACATACGGCATTCTGCACACAGGGGTCGATTGACGCATAACTCTCTGAAGCGCCCTCACACTCGACAACCCTCCAGAACGTAATACGCAGAGTATCAGTACTGCTGGGCTGTGGAACGGTGTACCGAAAGGTCTTATGGCCACAGTGTCGTCCCTATTTGTCGTATGCCACCGTCCCACCAGCCCACACAGCACCGCTGGACCCTCTCCAAATCCTTGTGAGGCAGTGCCGATTACACCTGACCTGACCTGACCGGACTGATGACTCCGTGCGGACCTGGTACTACCTTATCTAGCCAGACTTTGACCCCTGACCAATGGATCCCCTAATACATACCCCTCCAACTTCGAAAGACACGGCTCTGCAGCAGTCACCCACCAGGGGAAATGGTCACACGGGGAGAGCCATCAGACTAAGACTGAACGACTGTTCACACTGACAATATCACTGGGTGATAGCCTTGGACCAAATACGCGGCACAAACAAGCACAGTAGGCACCGGCAGGGGGAGGGAAAGGCAACAATTGTTCCACGATCGCACATGTAGGCAGACATAGCCGAGACATTGCATTACTACGAACTCACGCTGAAACAGTCACGATAAGGACGCGGCACGGAACGCACCAAAGGGTCACAGACAAAAGAGGAGAGTAATTGTGTAGCTCACGAGAAGAGCAGTTACCAGACTGAGAGAGAAGCACGTTGACTCTTGGGGCAGCTACGCGCAGCTGAGGCGCTGGGAGCTTGCGAAACACACACGTCATAGGAAAAGTCGGAGAGTGGTGGCACGTACCACACACAATTCACAGGCCGCCTCACAGCTCGCACACCCCGCGACCGAAAACATGCGGGTCCCGCCCGGTGACATAGTAGGGGATACCCTGGTACACTCGGGGGCAGATTGATGTTCCACCACTCCCAACCCATTGGGCTCCCATGGTTCAGCACTGGCTGCTGCCAGTGTTGCCTGCCCTCAGCACTGCTCAGCACTGCCTGGCAGTGCCACTGCTGCCAGTGCTGCCACTGGCAGCAGCCAGTGCTGAGCCATGGGAGCCTGATGGGTAGGGAGTGGTGGAACATCAATCTGCCCCCGAGTGTACCAGCGGACTGAGGCCGGCGATAACACAGAGGCACAGCAGACACAGGGCACATCACATCGAGCGCGCGAGATGGTCATCTAATACTTCGTCCAAAACAGTCGGCCATATCGTGATCGTAGCACAAGTCGAAAAAAAAGACAATTCAACGGCACGGTGGCCCACAGGGTCATATGAAATTAGTTTTAACACATCTGAGAGATGTCATGGTTTTCATCCATGGTTCCGATGTGCCGCAGCTAGACACGCTTTCTGCATATTCCATGTTTACCGGTGATGAGCAATGTAAATAAATGCCCGCTATAAAAAAAATGATTTATGACCATAGCTCAATACAGCTGAGCATGTCCGTGAGCAGCATTCTTGCTTTTGTATCTGATGTTACTTGCGGTGCGTCTACGATTGATTTCATTATCGGCTGACCATTCAACGAACAGTAAGATGTAGAACGGACCAACACAAGTCCCAAGTCCCACTAGAATGCGCTGCAAACCGAATGTCTTCAGCGTTCGGCTCATGCAAGCGAATAGCATAGCAGAACGATGCGAAGACAATAGACTAGCGTCTCTACCGCAGAATGCATCAACGTACAAAGGCAGACCCGTGAAGACTGAAGCACCGTCGAAAGTTCTACAGAGCGCAGTTCACTCATATGGTACCCCAGCGCCGCGCTGGGCAGAGAGCTGTGTTACGACTGGCTGACCTGAGCTCTGCTTCCTCCCACCGCCCGCCGCCTAGTAGACGATGGGTCTGGAGAAGGGCCCGGCCGGCGCCGAGTGGGTGGCGGGGGCGGCGGCGGGGGCCGGGGCCGGCCGAGTGCCCCGCACCACCAGCTCCAGCTCCTGGTAGTCGGTGAGGCGGCGCACGTCGCTGTCACGTCGTACCAGCGTGTTGGGCAGCTTCCTCACTCTGTCGATCACCTGGTGAGGGGAAGGGAGGTTAGATCATCACAGGGTTGCGTGCGGTAGGCAGGGAGGGAAAGTCAGAGGGTGGCAGGACCTCTGCGTATGAGAGGTAGGCGGATAGTGGGCTGATGTAAGGGTAGGCGTGATGTCAGTAGAGCGTGTTGGTGAGCAGTGTAACTTGTTGAATATGTCAAGAAAGCGAGATCGGCTGATGATGGCAAAGGTATGACGCACTGTGTGGCTCCTCAACGAGGCAAGTGAACGCATTACGCAGTTACGCACTACACAGCCAAAAGACCCAAAAGCTACCGCAAGGCCAAGGGTCATTGACTTTCCCTGATGCTGCAGCGGGCCACCACAGACACATTTTGATGGTGACACAGTCTAACATTGCCTAAGTCTGATATGGCCTCAGTATGACACCCTGTCCGCACTAGATAGTACCCGGTGTCGAAGGGTTCACCGCACCTGTCCGTCAATGTTGAGTTCTCGGCAGCACTCCCTGAGCAGCCGGTCAAAGGTCAGTTCGGAGAGCGGCAGCTGCAGCTCCACAAAGTCGGCCTCCGCGGGCACTCCGGCCACGCGCACCTTCAGCACCAGCTCTGAGGAGGAGACAGGGAGGAGAGCTGTCAGCAACAGCTCTGTTCCAGGGAGCAGACACAGTCGGCACGACGGTCACAATGGAAGAACAGTCAGTACGAGTGGAACTGGAAAGAACCTTCTGCAGTCGGCATCAGCGGATAGAACAGTGAGCACTAGCAGATAGAGTAGTTAGCACCAGCGAATGGAACAGACACTATATACCAACGGATAGAAGTCAGGAACGGCTCTGAGGAGCACAGACACGGTCGGTAAGACAGTTAGTTATAAAGGGATAAAACCTTCTGTACAAGTTCTGGCTTCTCACCAGCACATACACATTTGGTATGACGGTCAGTGACATTAGGTACAACAGTTAATCAGCTCTGGATAACACAGAAACGGTGGGAGCGTTTTCAACCGTGAATGAACAGTCGGCAGCCATGATAGCCGAACAGTCGCATACTCGTAAGACCATCATTTCATCCGCAGACATTAGTTCTTTAAAGCACATAGCCGACGAAGTCAGCAACAGGCAGGAGAGAGTAACAGTCGCTAGCCGTTAGGCCGTAGCAACAGTCTGTAATGACCACCAAATGCAACTGGCAGCTGAACACCCGATTCTAGCAGCCAACTGACGCCGTTGATATCGCCACAGCCCACGAAGTGCCACAAAGACTCGCATAGGGTAACCTTTTGATAAAAGTATCGGTCGCAAGCAGTGAACGGCGCTATGGATCTCTAGAAAAGTCGCACCCATGTCACTTTGTTTGCAGCCTTGCAACAAGACGTATCAACTCAGAAGGACCATATCCCGGCCCACCCAAAGCCACCCAGCGGTACGTACCGTCGTCAGGGATAGCGCCCTTGACGGGCCTCTGCCGGTCGCGGCAGGAGCAGCACACCAGTCCTGTTACCGCCGGTGTCACGGGAACCACCGGTACCGCAGCGGGCGCAGCCGGCTCGGCGGGTGGTCTCTCCAGGCTGCCGTTTGGCGGCGCTGGCGTCGGCTCACCGGCGGCGCCACTGTCGCCGTTGGGAAGCCGGCTGGGCGTCAGGTCGACGCTGAACGCCGGGTAGGTCAGGTAGGAGGGCTGGAAGGAGGGGGTGCCGGCGGCTGGGGAGACGTCCGGCGGAGACTCCCCCTCTGTGGGCTCCACTCCTGCGGGAGGGTGAATGGGGCGTCACACGGACGGACACAGACGGCTACATAGAGATCAGTAGACGAAGATACCGCCGTGACCGGGGTGGATGGTTGTCCAACGACCTATCAATAAAAAGACGAGCTACATGCTTAACACCAAGGTAGTGAGAAATGTTAAAGGCCCAGAATTAAGCCTTCTGAGAGTATCCTACACATTGTACGACAAGCATTGAACAAACATTCGTAGCCACGCTCAGAATACCAAATGTAGCAGAACAAGTCGCTTCCACGGAAGTCCCCGTTGAACCCCTGTGCAGTGCCGAACGCGCCGGGCCGTCGGCAGCTAACTCACCCAGGAGCTGCAGAATCGGTCGGTTCTTGGTCAGCTCCGCCGGCTGCTGACCGCTGCTGTTGGTGACAGAGACGTCGGCGCCGGCGGCTAGTAGCAGACGCACCGCCTCTAACCGGCCCCGCTTACAGCCCCAGTGTAGCGCCGACCTGGGGATAAACAAGGAGGGGGGACTGAGCACCGCCTCTAACTGGCCCCGCTTACAGCCCCAGTGCGTGGAGCGCCGACCTGACAAAACAAAGCGAAAGGGACTGTCACCGCCTCTAACCGGCCCCGCTTACAGCCCCAGTGCAGCGCCGACCTGGAGTAATACAGAGGGAGGGGGGACTGAGCACCGCCTCTAACCGGCCCCGCTTACAGCCCCAGTGCAGCGCAGACCTGGGGAAATACAGAGGGAGGAGCTGTCACCGGGAGCAGGGGATGGTGGGGGGCGCTGTCACCGCCTCTAACCGTCCCCGCTTACAGCCCCAGTGCAGCGCAGACCTGGAGTAATACAGAGGGAGGGGGATGTCACCGGAGCACCGCCTCTAACCGTCCCCGTTTACAGCCCCAGTGCAGCGCCGACCTGGGGATAAACAGGGAGGGGTCGGGGGGCAAGGGCGTCACTGAAGCATCGACCACTGAAAACACCACCAATGGATGTCTGAGGACGGGAGGAGTTTCAAAGTCACAGTCTTATCAGGCTATGAAATTACACATTATAGGAAACGTGACCTACTAGCAGTCGTCATGCCTTAGTGTGCTGCATTTTAACTGCTAAGCATTGCGAGGAAAGGCACCGCACTGGGATCATTCCATCCATACTGAGTCCTTCAAGGAGCATTTGTCAATTTCTTGGAGGCGACCGAGCCTAGTAGTTACGTAGGCAAGTTCCGTTCTGTATCTGCATTACAAAGACTCTCCGCTGCCGTATCGGAAGGCGTCATCAAGACTGTCGGTGGTTATCTTGAATGTGAGCTGTGTGCACTGGGCAAGCATAGGCCAACCATTGTTTGACTGTGATATGAAGTGCGAACCGGAAATAGCTGTCGAGTTGAAAGGTGTGATCACACTCCCATCCACGGCCAGAGTGCAAGGGGTGACGGAGATTATACGGTGCACAGTGCACATTGCACACTGCACAGTACGGTCGCACTCCGTTGATCGAACCCGCTCCGTCCACCGGCCCGCAAGCTGCAATCTGCCATCTGCATGTCTGCATACTGCACCGTGCACTTGCCAGACATGTCCGGGCCTGTGGCTACCTGCACTGGACTGCACTGTTCGGTCCATCCGCACCGTACTCGATTCCGCACCGAAGCTACATAAAGCGAGGCGACTACAGCCCGCACCGTGTCTTTGACGCTAAACCCGCACTCCGCACCATATCTCAAAACGGAGTCAACGCTACAACCCCACGAGCACAGTCATATGTCACAGCACAGACCTCGGAATACAGAGGTCATATGTCACAGCCCTCCGACTCGCAGTCAGCCAAACCCCTATCTGAGTGGAATGGCTGATAGGTGTATGTGAGGTGGGGAGGCAGTGATCGGCCGCCGGCACGGGCTCCCTGTGACGTCATTCACACTCATACCTACCGGCGAGCTGACGTGGCAGTAAGTAACCACAGCCAACAATGTCATGGAGTCACCGCAATGGTGTAACCGGTCGACAGCAATCGGTGGGTAGTATTACGCAATCGAGACTGGTATGCAGCAAAAGTAGGTAGGTGCTAGTATGCACTATGCAGCTGTATGCCTAATGCCCATACTGCTGCTGAGAATAACTCCCAGAAAAGGCAAATAATTTTTAACAATGATCGTATGCCGTGTTGCGAGACATCGATGTTTCCATCTTTTAATAAAGGTAAAACCAGAATATCACATTGGTGATATTCTGATATATTGGTGGAACATAACATTTGAAATATATTCAAACTAACCTACCTCCAAATCGAATATACCAATCATTTGGGAAATTGAACGACTTCATTCGTGAGCCTTTCTAAAGAGAGAGAAAAAAAAGACTACTAAAAGCCTTGCTACAACAGTGACACGTCATGCAACCATGCTGGCTCCCAAAGACGGTTGCAATGTTGCATACATGAACGAGGATTCCATGCGACCAGATATGGTCACTGATATCAAAATCCCCAGCCGCAAACCCGCGACACCCAGCCCAGCCTAGAATAGTAGGGGCCGGGGAGAGGGGAATGGGGGCTGGGGAGAGAGGGGGCTGGGGAGAGAGTTGGGGAGCAGCGGAGAGAGGAGAGGAGCAGCGGTGACGCCCGCCCGTCACCGCTACCAAACAGTCCGTCTGACGAAAAGCCCAGCCGGCGGCTGTCAGAACTGCAACTGCAGCGGCCCGGGCGCGAGTGTAATCAATCCCGTGTGACGTGGCACTGTCCGCTGTGCCCTTCCCAGCAGGACAGGACAGGTCGCCAGGGTGCGGCCGAAGTCTGAGATTCACGGGAGAAAGTCTTTAGACATGGGAGCTGGAGCTCTGTCCCCTAAGCCAAAGTCTGCACTCTACTCAGGGTTAAAGCGGGTGGAACGTGTCTAGACAGCGAGGCTAGTCAGTAGTCAACATACCCCTTTCCGATCTGCAACAACATGGATCAGTTTGGATGTCTGGAACGGTGGATACATATTACATATCCGGCCGACCGATGAGCTAACATTATTCAACAAGACGTCATTCAGCCAGTACAGACACACTGGGCCTCTGCCGGCAGCAAACACGCTACACACAGTGTCCCCTGCGGACGACTGCTGACTTTTATTTCAACCTGGGTCGACCTCGACAGCACACCCTCCCCGCTGACCGATATAATAGTCCGGAGTCGCCAGGCAGCTCGGCTGGGGTTTCCCTCATGTAATGCCAGTCGGTCAGCTGACCCATATAACTGGAAATCCAGCCCCGCCGCCAGCCGCGGTGATGTCACCACGCGGAATTCCTACTCCCTCTCCCGTCATCGAGGTCCTACCAGCGGAGTCTGATGACCATTCGGTAACTCGGGTTGGGAGATGTCACAGCCCACCATACATGGATATTCTGGTGTGGACACCGAACCGTACCGGACGTGCCGGCGCCTTCCGTCCGTCCTGCCGTCCGCCGGAGCCCGTGGCCCGCGTGCCCGGGCACCGGGAATCCCCGGTGCTGTCCGCCAGCCGGAATTGCCCAATTCGACTGGCGCACCACCCCTCCCCCTCCCCTCTCCCGCCTGTCGGCAGGCGCCGCGCCATGCGGTAAGCTGCATATATCGACAGCCACCCGAGGTGCGTGGGTGGAGACCGGTGCCTCGGTTAGATGCCAGTTTACTTACACCGAAATCAGGAAACACCAGCCCTTATTTGGTGATGCTTTGACGGAGGCTGGGCACGCTTCGCTCAAACTCCATAAGTAATTTCTTACATCATTGAGCTAGAAATACTGGATGCGTGACTTCGCACATTACCCTTAACAGCAACCAGGTACCAGATGACCGCATACAGAATCACACGGTATCTTTTAGAACCTTTGGAATGATCATTCAGCGTCGATCCCATCCCCGTGGTATTGCCGGTCGGCCGTCAGCCGGGTTCCCGTCAGGGAGCCAATCAGCGGCCGCCGCTGAGGTGACGTCATCCCGCTCGTCTCTGGCAGAGCTGCAGCTGAGAGCGCTATCTGCGCAGTGTGCGGTGCCGTTTGTATTGCAGTGGGGTGCGGACCGGCTGCCACGTGAGACCGCCACCGGAGCAGACCGGCCGCGCCGCAGCGTGCGTTACGAGTGGACTCGGGACCTCCAGAGAACCTGCCTCCAGCGGCGGAGACCGCGGATAGGGTGTGACCGCAGTGACCTAGCCCTGACCCGGCCCGCTGGGAGCCATGCCGTGTGAGCCGCCATCCCAGGGCCTGGAGGTGGCCTGGCGACTGCGGCGGCTGCTGAGGGACCTGCCGCAGGCTGACGGATGTGTCTACTCGGCGGCCGGGGAACCACGACGGCACCCCGAACGGCGGAACAGTGCCGACCCGCCCGGTGAGACCGCTTTCAGCACATATCAGCCAGTGGAACCAGCCTCTAACACCGTCAGACATCTAGCCGGAGAGACTGTACTTGATCCGGAGGAGCCAGCCTTCAGCCCCGATCCGCTAGTGGCAGCAGCCCGCAGTCCCGCTCGGCCAGCAGCACCAGCCCGCAGAATCGTTCCGCCAGTGGCGCCAACTCTCAGCCCCGTTCCACCGGAGGAGCCAACCCGCAGCCCCTCTCCGCCCGGGGACGAGTGGCCGCTGGCGGAGGCGGCCCTGGCGCGCCGTTTCGCGCGCCGCTGGTGTCGCCAGGTGTCGGACCGCCGCCAGCGGCGTCAGTCGGCCCCCGAGGACCGGGACGCCGAGTGGACCGTACTCGAGTCGGACGGGCTGGGACCGGAGCCCGAGCTGCGCCGGCTGCGGCGGCCGGCCGCGCTGCGCCAGGCGGCCGCCGCGCTCCGGCAGCGCGGCCGGAGCGCCGTGACCCGGCTGGTGACCGTCGGCCGGCTGCGGCTCGTGAGGGGAGCCACCTCTGCCGCCGCCGCCCCGCGGCCCGTCCATGCCGTGCGCTGCGGGGAGCTGCTCTCCCCCGAGCCGGACCTGCCTCTGTTCGAGAGCGTCTCCTGCGACAACCTGGCCGATCTACAGACGGCTGACCCGGACAGCCGCCTCCCTGTCGGCCCGGAGAGCCCCCTCCCGACCGCCGCTGCCGACAGTGCGCCGCCACCGCCGTACCCGGGTGACGAGCCGCCGCCGTACAGCCTGGCCGTCAGCCGCCCCACGCCGGCCGAGAGGCTGCTCTGGCACGGACTGGACGCCGACCAGGTCACGGTCACGGTGTCACCGGCCGACCGCGCCCTCTGGAGGCGGCCTCCGTCACCGCCAGCGGAGGGGCGACCCCTCTGAGAGCCTACCGCGAACCGGCCGCGGCGCGGCGAAAGGGCCAGTCTGACATAATCCGGCTGTGTTAACGAATTCCGAATGTTGTGCAATGCTGTGTAGTGCGCGGACTGACTCAACGCTGTGAGCAATCCGCGGAAAGGATCCGACTCCGGCGCCAGCCTGAAGTTTGCGTTGGAATGCGAATGGTTGTTACCGCAAGGCATATCTAGTTGCAAAGGTTTCAATAAATAATTTTGTTTTATGTAGCGCTGAGGAACCCCAATGTAGTAGGTACTTTATTCTCAAACAAATGGCTATCCAATTTGTTTACAAATGCGAAATGCAGTGTTGAAATACAAATTTGTATTTAGACTCGGTCTTTGAGCAGAGGTAGCGAGAGATAGGCAACAGGGAGCAGCTGTCCCACACCGGCAAACACTCACCACCCATTGATGGCGTTCTTGGAGTTAACGTTGACGCCATGCTGGATGAGTTTGTTCAACGCCTCCACATCTCCGACGCAGGCCGCCTCACGCAGCTGTTCCTCCCGCACCGACTCTTCATTCATCCTGCCAAAAGATAGGGATTGGTTAGGGGATTATTTGGGCTAGGATTCTGTTGGCTGCAGCCAACAAACAGACGGTAGTGCACGGTCTGTGAATGGGGTTAGGTCAGACCACAAACAGATTGCTACCTGAATTATCACACTACCAGCTGGCAGTATTTAGCACTACAGATAGGTACCTTGTTTCTTGTGAACATCCTTTCTCGGAAACTTTACATCATTTTTGCCTTTTGGGTTAGAAGGTAAACACTAAACAGCCCTTAGAAAATAAATGTGACTCGGACCCAGGTAATAAGCATTTTGCACAAGCATGCCAGTGTGACAAGTATTTTGCACAAGCAAGCATGGCAGGACTTTAGAGGCAATGTGAGACATAGTGTCGGTCTTGTCCTGACAGGTTTTTGGGCACCTCTTTTATCTGTTTGCTCTCTGACCTTGACCTGATCTCCACCAGAACATGACCTAAACTGGCCCTAATGGTCGCCTTACCCACACCATTGAATTTGAGATGTAATATTGGCCATAAACATGCATCATACCTACTTCCCTAGTACAGTCAGTGATATTGTGACCCTTAGCAACCTGACTGCTGTGACCTGACCTGGCATCAGTGACCTCATTTAGCAATATAAGTATTAGGCAACTAATGACCAATCAATGATTTTTGATAACATGTCTTTTACTCCATGCTATAATACATTCCAGTTTAAGTAAAGCAGGCATCATGCTTGTTTCTTGCAACCAAGGAGAGGTGCTGTAGGTTAGGTTGTAGGTTTTAGGTGGTATGTCTTAGGTGCTAGGTTGTAGGTTTTAGGCTGTAACAGTAAGTAAGGTTAGGTCAGGTTTGGTTAGGTTAGGTTAGGTTTTGTTGATTAGAAAGCATCTCCAGGTATAGTGCCTCCCCTTGGTTGCAAACAACAACTGAACAAGTGTGAGCTGTGAGTTGTGACCCCTGCTTAACGACTACCTGCATTCCTTAGGACGAGGCCTGTGAATGATGAAAATATGACCCTAAACCTGACCTGTGAATTGTGATGTAATCTGTTGAACCTAGGTCAATGAAATTTGGTTGTACGGTAGTTTCCCAATGGGTTTTTTAAATCAAAATGCCACTTGCAATTTGAAAATCGGTCTGTAACATTTCAATACCTATCAATATCCTAGGCCCCAACAGATGGCAGGGTCTACCAAAAGCCGAACAGGATGCAGTTTAAGCTGACCAAGTGCAGTCAGTGCATTTCAAGTCAGTGCATTTGATTTAGGCATTAACTTGGGCATTATTAATGCCAATTACAATATTTGTTTTTTATTGCATTTCCAATTAATTATCGAGGAGAAGGTCACTTTAAATTCAAAGAAAATAGGATGAAATGTAGTTATGATTAAAAGACGAAATTCAAGTTGAGATACAGGCTAAAATGGAATAAAAATATAAAAATTAATTAACTGAGTGTAAAACCTACCTTGTGTCCTTGCGTGATGTGATATGCACGGTATATAGAGAACTGTGATAGGTATGTTATGTGGGAGACTTATTGTTATAGTACAAGCAATAAATGTACATACAATCTTGCATACAATAGCACGGCTAGAGACGATATTTATTTCTTATTCACATAACGGCCTCGTGCTTTGCTCGTGCTGCTATCTATTTCGAACCGTGTTCAATGATACGTGTATGTGTAGCTTGTGGAAATGTTGCAAAAAAAAAGCACGAAAAGGGAAATTCATTTAGGCAAGGCTAAACCGGGTGAATAGAAATTTAAATTAATAGAATTAAGAAAACGTCACACTAAAAACAACTTTTAAACTATGGAGCACATATTTTTGTCAAAAGAAAGGAAGGAAGCTTCCATGCAATATTTTGCTTGTGCTGCTAATGGAACAGCAGAACAGTTGCATTGTATAGGACGCGTCATATTTGGCGTTGGTTTGTAAGCCCGTTCCAACTTCCAGCCCGTTCGTTGAACTCGAATTGAACTGGAACTTATTCACCTACTTGTACTGAATTCTACAGTTCCATCCCCTCTTTATTTACATGATTGTGATGGTGGGCCGCTACCAACTTCCCAACAAGCAAATAATCAAATGCTGCAGCCTGCAAGTTCAAGAACTTACAGAACACATCAGCACCCATTTTACGGACATGCAGCAGTCACTATGTACGCACGGTAAGTAAACGGGCATTTTCCGTCAGAGAGCAATGCGATGTCTCCGTGCTCGATGTCTGCTCGCCGCCTATCGGACTATGCTGTGTGTCTGCACGCCTCTCAGTGTCTCCATCCTCCTGTGGGAGCTCTTCCACCCAATCCTTCTCCCCCTCCGACTCCTCCATCTCGTCGGCCTCCTCCAGCCCGACGAACTGCATCGCCCACTGGACGAACAGGAAGACCCAGTCGTGGATGGCGAGCACCGACAGGCCCATCACGAAGCTGGTCATGCCGGACACGTCGATGAAGAATTCCCAGGCGCCGTAGATCCAGTTCTCTTTGGACACGGTCAGCGTGGTCGACAGGTGGAACGTTACGCTGTGCACCGACTCGTGCTCGATCAGATGGTGGTCGTCGTCCTCGTCATGGTGACCGTCGTCCTCGTCATGATGATCGCCATCCTCCTCCTCCTCCTCCTCCTCGTCGTCATCGTCGTGATCGATGCTCTTCTTCCTGGGCACGAGCTCAGTGCCGGCCGGGTGGATGACCACCGAGTACTCGTCACACCGGTGCGGGCACTGCTCGGCGCACTGCGGGGTCAGCGGATAGCGACTCGAGCCGCGAGGAAAGTACACCTGCGCGAACCGCTCGAACGTGGCGGTGAACTCGTCGGCCGAGCGGCACAGCGGCAGCTGCGAGTAGTTGGCCATCCAGGGCCAGGCGGCCTCCGGCGGGTAGAGCTCCCTCCACTGGTCGTCGGAGCCGTCGGCGCCCGCCGCGTCCACGTCCACGTGCGGGATCCGCTCAGACGTGTTGTAGATGTACGGGATCTGCATGGGCATGATGCACGTGACGTTGTCGAGCATGCCGCGCGCCAGACACCAGGTGAGGCAGTTGACGTGCGTATGCGACGAATCGGTGACCGAGTGGTGGTCGTCCATCATCTTCTCCGTCTTCTTGCCGACGACGTCGAGCAGCTGGTGCGAGCGCAGGTCGACCCGGTACGGCACGTGGTCGGCGATCAGCGGGAACTCGGTGAAGTTGCTCCGTGGGTAGACGTACAGGTCCACGTACCAGGCGATGCCGAACAGCGCCTCGTACACCGAGTCGTTGACGTAGATCTGGTGCTCCAGCGTGTCGGAGTAACCCCGCGGAAACGTGATGTTGTAGGTATAGTTGCGGCAGATGGCGTACTCGAGCAGAAACGGGATGTCGGTGTGGCGTAGCACCGTATCCGGCACGTTCTTGCCGGCGATGGATAGGCGGTGCCGGATGCCATCCAGGTACTGGCTGAGCAACGACGGCGTCAGCGACGAGATGCCGAACACGCCGTCGGTCCAGTTGAAGTTGCCCTCCGTGAAGAACTGCCGGTAGGCCGCCACACTGTCAACGGCCATGGCGCCGCGGAAGAAGGTCTCTGTCCGGTTGGACTGGCTGTTGAAGCTCCTGTAGGTCTCGTAACGCTCCGGGAAGCGCGTCCACGTCCTGTTCATGTATTCGTCCACCAGGTCTCCGGGGATCTTGGGGCCGAAGCAGACCGCCACCTCGAACCACGGCTCGGTAAACTTGGAGATGTAGCGGCGCATCACGATGCCGTTCTTCATGAACGTGTCGTAGCGGTCCTTGACGACGTACAGCAGGCAGAGGAAGGCGAACACGAGCACTGCGATGCGGACGATGGCCAGCAGCGCCTGGGCAACCTTTTTCCTCCACATCGCTGCGAGGTCGGGTCACCTGGAAAACGGTCTCAGTGGTAAGAGTGGCTGAAATGGTGCGCTGTTGGCTACGTGCTGGCAAATGTCGAGTTTCATAGGATCCTGAGGACTGTGAGAGAGGCCATGGAATGTTAGACAATCGCCGAGGGTACCAGAACAAAGTGGTCACGCATTACAAACGAACTAAAGGCAATAGAAGGCGGTAGAAATTTCGTTTGCAATACCTACGCCTCTACTTGCTGATGTTACCATCGTAACTAGAATTAATAACATAGCAATTAGCAACCCTGTAATAATTTGTCCAACGCATCAAATATGCCTTATATTGTTATGCATACCTCTATTGGCTGAACATATGGAAGAAAAGAATGGTTGGGTAAAAATTGTAGTGGGTTCGAGATGAATGAAATGCTAAGCAGAGTTACGCATGAAATGATCGGACCTGGTTCGGACCTTGTAGAAATTCTGAAATGATTCATGCACTACGCAGCATGCACGTGTCAAGAGTCGTCAGCATTTTAAAAATGATTGCAAAGTTTCTTTACAATGCGCGCACGTTCAGATATGTAGCGTGACTTTGATCACAGACCACCGCTAAACTATCCAACACCGATAGGTAACAGTATAGGTAGCTGACGATTGGAACTCTTCGGAATTCCGTTTATGTCTGATGTCCTGTCCGGAATTTGGTTGGACAAATGCAGCTGACTTTGGGCGAAATAGGAAATTCATTTATCATATGAAGCATTTTTATTAGACGTTCTTGTTCGACATGCCTGAATTTGTTTGGTAATACCTGGGTAATACCTACCTACACAACTCAGCCTCGGTGATATCTGATAAAAAACAATTTTGAACCATTAAAAGAGCATGAATAAGGGTAGCACCATTCGATTCTCCTTGAAAAAACTGCATCAGATAGACGCCCTATTTAGTCTTAAAGGCCAACACCAGAATTTGACCTTGCTTGACCTGAAGTTCACCTGACCTCGGCCTGAACTCCATCCAAATATGGAGCATGGGCCATATCACTAAGTGAGTATGACCATTGCCCATTGAGTTTTTTTTTTTTTTAGTAAAATGACCCATAAAACCTGTATCGTGCACACCCTATGGGTGCTGCAGCCTGCATGGAAAGAATCGACTTCAAACGACCTTCGTCCCCCCCCCCCCCCCCAACCATCGGGTCGTGACGGAGGTGGAGCCCTTGCCTCTAACTGTCAGTGTTGTTAAACTTTGTTAAATTTTACCATCATCATCTTAGTGTTTCCTTTCACGCGTCACTGTGACCGCGCGAAGAGCCTGTCTCCCCACAGCCAACTGGTCACGTGATTTTGAGACTCGATTCTAATCCAGCGTGGCCGGTCGAGTCTGTGCTCGACATCGATGTGGCGTCGAGAGCCGCCAGCGTTTCCATGGCGACGTCGAGCCGCGGCACCGGCGCTCGTTCGTCAAGCAATTTCTGCTGTCCACGCCGATTGAACGATCGAGCTATTCCGGTCGGTGGGACAGTCGGGCTCGGTCGGCACGGTACCGGCCCTGCCCGCAGCCCGGGCCTGGACCTTTGTTCTACTGAACAGAACAGTCCCTCAGAGTTCCGAGTCACTCGACCCACGTCCTTTCGGAGGAGCCTCATACTCTTGAACGATGCACTGTCGCTCACTTACTCCGACCCAGCGCTTGTATAAGGGCCTTGAGCGCTTGTATTGTCAAATCACCCTCATGTGAACTCGGCTCTTGCTGGCAAAACGATTCGGTATTACTATCGTCATTTGGATGCAACGGACTGAAGCCACTGGTGCTCAGCGCTTCTTCCGATTCAGTCGCCATCGTGTGACAGTTTGAATATGGATCATCATAGGCGGCGGAATGGGGAGGGCACCGGGGCACCGTGCCCCCCTTTGATTCTGGCATTTTAAGTGATTTAACATTAGCCCTATGGGCGCTGCATGGAAAGAATGGGACCAAAAGTCGGCAGTGCCCCCCGCCCCCCCCCCCTTAATTGAAGGTATTCCGCCGCTACTGTGGATCATGTCTGCATCATAATCTGCAACAAACAATTTAATTGTCTGTCGGAAAATAGCGGGACTTAATATGTTTTTTTTCTTCCAATGACACGTCAACGTATATATAATGGCTAGTCGAAACAATGACGTGAATTGTGTTCAAAGGTTGGAAAAATTAGACAAACAAATTTTAGCCATGCATAATTGATGCAAGTGAACAAAGCGAGATGGTTGCTTAGCTTCATAAATTGGGTTGAATATGATGCCACACCACGTTGCCTGGTTACGGAGCGAGCGAAGCGAGCGTAGTCTTTCCTTAGATTAACGGAAATTTCTGCATTTAAAGACATGATGTGGAGATGAATTGTGAATTAAAATGAAATCGGACTTACTCCACAAGAGTTCGTTGGGTCGGAGCTTTCGAATTGTATTACAATTCTTCGTCAGCGAGAGTCGTATCGGATGTTAAGATCGAATCGAAGGTACAGTGCGGATCGAACAAAATATGGGTCGGACAGGAGGGTCTCTGAGGCAACTACACCTTTTTGCTTTCAGTTTGAAAAAGCTGAAGCTCAATTTGAAAAAGGTACACTTCAATTTGAAACACGTGCCATTCGATTTGCATTGCATTTTTTTCAAATTGAAATACATCTTTTTCAAATTGAACTTTAACTTTTTCAAACTGAAGGCAAAATGGTGTAGTTGGTCTTGAAATAAACATACAAACACTGGGAAACACGTGAATAATAACAGGATGCACACTTACTAGAAAAAGC